TAATGAGATGTAGCTTGAAAGAAATGTAGTTACTCTTATGGAGCAGGTAATGTTATACTTCTATTTCATTCAGTTCCGACATTATCTTGACAATGCCTGCTATATTGGTGTCTACCTGATTTTTGTGACCTTATTCTATCGATAAGTAGCTGATTGTTTCTCCACTAGGAAAAAAGTTACTAATCTGAATATATAGAATTGTAGAAGTATGGAGAAAATGAAAAGTTTCACTTTTATGTTTTTCTTCAAGTTTTTCACTTGATTATGCTGGTTTGGTTGTTTTTCAAGGAGTGCAGAATTGATATTAGGGCTGTTAATTGAAACTTAGCTGCACGCAGAAAGCTGCATGTCATACACACTATGATAGTGATTACATTTTAAGGAAGAGTTTTTAGTCAAAATACAATTAGCTTAGTTTTTGTTTCATCTTTCTAAAGGTAAATTGATTCATTTTTTCATGTTGTAGTTGAGAGGCAGTAATGATCTGTGTTTTGGGGTACAAAAGAATGCTCCGTCAAGCGTGCTGATCAAACCAAAGATACTGTGCTTGTACATTGAGGCTCACAAGAATATTCTAGTTTCGTGTGCAAGAAAAAATTGTTAAGGTGTTTGACTATGATTGACATGGGATGAGTACAAAATTGGTAGTTTATTTGTAGATTGTAGATTGAATGGTGTTTATTTTCTTTTGAATATTTGAATCAGATTGGATTTTATGTGATCAAATTTTAATTTAGAAATTATTTTTACTTTGATTTATTAGATTAAAAATATGTTATATTGTATATATAATTAAAAATAACATTTGGTTAACAATGGTGACCAAACTGAAATTCCTGACCAACAAATATTGTTTTTTTTAAAAAATATTTATATTATTTTAGTGATTAAAGTATTGGTCACAAAACTAGTTGTGGGAAAACTAGTTGTGGGACCAACTTTCAAGGGTCACCACAACTTGCTGCCCGGGATGTCCATCAAATTTTGGTGACCAATTTTAAATTATTGACCAACTTTGCGTTCGACCAAATTTAGTTACTAGCTCCTAGAAGTTGGTCACAAAGCATTTAATGACGAGGCTTTATTGACAAGGGGGGACGAAAGAAAGTTAGTCACCGAAGAAGTTTAGTGACCAGATTTGGTCACCAAAACTATTTTAAAGACCAGAAAATTGTTTGTCATTGTAGCTGGACTTCTATCCACTATGGAGCCAAATGGTTGGGAGAAAATTCGGAATGATTTGAGCTCAAGTGGTGCATCCATAATAGAGCACTGCATGAACACATTGGAACTCAGCTATGCACATTTAACAGATGATTTAAGCCCATGCTTTCTCTATTTAGCTGCATTTCCAGAAGATGTACAAATTTCAGCCAAGAGATTACTGCATCTATGGATGGTAGAAGGCTTTGTTCGCAAAGTAAAAGGAAAGCGCAGAGAAGATGTTGCTGAAGATTATTTGAATACTTTGATTGGTGATATGCTTATATTTTACCTATTTATTATATCCTCAATTTGTTATTTTTGCAATATATTTTGAGTACAAATATACTATTTATACGATTTTATCTTTATTTGTAGGTTTTGTACTCAAATGGAGAAATTGTTGAAACTTTGAGTTAAATGAAGATAAAAGCAACTCAAAGGGAGAATTGAAGATTTGGTAAATTGACAAGGAAGAAATTGAAACACCTGAAGAGTTGGAGGAGTTTTAATTTAAATTGGCTCGAAAAAAAAAATAACTTTCTTATTTCTGAAGAAAGAAGATTTGACGAAAGCTTATAAAAAAAGAATTAGAATTTTATTTTTGGAACAAAATCCATCACCTCCTTCTCCATCACCACCAAAACCCCACGCCCAAAAACTCCCGCACACCAAAAAGAAAACCCCTTCGCCCAAAACCCTACACGCCTCCACCATCAAAGTATTTGAATACTTTGATTGGCAAAAGCTTAATAATGGTTGCCAAACAAAGATGGGATAGAGGGGTCAAAACATGCCGCGTTCACGATCTGTTTCATGATTTTTGCTTACAGAAAGTCCAAGATGAGCATTTTTTCCATGTCCTAAAGGGATATGACGATCTTGCAGCATTTAATAAACCAAGCAACCTTCAAAGGTTATGCATTCACTCTGAGCAATAGGAATTTAATGAGGCAAAATTATTTTGTCCTCGTGCACGTTCTTTGCTTTTCAACTCCTCTGGAACCCAAGAGTTGCAAGGTACCTCATTGTGGCTTCACAACTTCAAACTTCTAAGGGTGTTGGATTTGGAGAAGATATATATACGATCTGGATTCCCAAGTGAAATAGAAGTACTTGTTCAGTTAGCCTTCCTGGAAATCAGAGGCCACTTCCCTCACATTCCATCACTAATAGAGCAGCTCCCAAATTTGGAAACTCTAATTTTGATATCAGGGTTCGATGAGTCTGTATCCAGTGCACCCGGATATACCGTATACCCCACCAAACACACGCGTTACACGCGCTTAATATTTTTCACCTTTACATTAAATGTTGGTTATCCATCCATTTCATACTGGTTATCCACAAGTTGTAAACTGGTTATCCAGAAGATGTTAACTGATTATCCACAAGGTGTAAACTGGTTATCCACAAGGTGTAAACTGGTTATCCAGAAGGTGTAAACTGATTATCCACAATTCCCAAACAACAAAAACTGAGTGTCCCAATTTCTTGGTTTTTCTACTTTTTTATTAAACTGCTTATCCTATGATGTTATCCTGCTTATCCAATATTTCCTTGCTAATTATCCAATGCTTGTATTGATTATCTAGGACTTTTGTACTGGTTATCCAGCCAATGTGCAGCAATATCCAACCGTTTGTAATGGTTATCCAGGATCTTTGTACTAGTTATCCAACTTGTTACACCTGATTATCCGAATGTTTTATAGTGATTATCCAGTAAAAAAAAATGCAAGTACAATCTTTAACCTGATTATCCATGAGTTTATACTTGTTATCTAAAACCTTAATACTGCTTATCCATATGTAACCAATGACTATCCACCATGTGGACATAACAAAACAAGGATTCAGAGAGGGCTTCTAAAAAGACATAATAAAAGAAAATATCCATAAGAAAATGGCTATTCAAAGGACATGTTCATAGGGGGCTTCGCCCCCCATGATAAACTAAATGAATCCCGCGGCTACCGGAATCGCAGGTCACCAACCCACTCCGGCTGCGCCGCCCCCGCCGAACACGCCAATGTAGCTAACGTAATCCTTTTTTTGTGTGTGTGTAAGGAGAGTGTGTGTGTAAGGAGAGTGTGTTATTGCGTTAAGAGGGGACACAAATTACTTGTATAAATCCCTCCGTGATAAACTAAACGATCCTGCTGCGCCGGTGCCCGCGGTTGTGCCGCCCCCATGCCGAACATGGCAAATTTCATAAATAGTATTTAATTGAATGAGGGGAAGTTTGCCAAATGATAGAGAACAAAAAATGAATGAGGGGCAACTGGATAACCAGTGTAAAAAATACGGACAAGGATATCCAAGAAAAATATAAAAGGAAAAAAATAAAATTTGGCAACTGGTTATCCAGCTGTGTGTAACTAGTTATCCATAATGTGCACACTAGTTATCCACTATGTCCATACTGGTTATCCAACAGGTTAATAATGGTTATCCAGCTGTGTATAACTTGTTATCCATAGTGCCAACACTGGTTATCCACATGATGAACACTGGTTATCCACACGCATTTTAAAAAAAAGAAAAGAAAAAGAAGGATGAATTATCTAGCGAACTCACACTATTCTAAGAGAGTAAATTACACGCGCAGGGGGTACACGGTACCCCCAGGTGTACCAGATAATTTGCCGGGTTCGATTACTTGCTATTGCCAGACAGTATATGGAATCTACAAAGGTTAAAGTATCTTCACCTAAGGAGTAGCCAACATGATGGTGGTGGTATTTTGTCAATTAACAATCTTGATAGCTTTTCCATTTTACCAGAGCTCGATAGGTTTTCAGGCGCGGTTATTCCTTCATGGAGCAACATGGAAACGCTAATGAGAAAGTTTCCAAACATTCGTAAGTTGAAATGCTCTATATGCCGTAATCAGGAAGATAATATTCCGGGAAGTTTTGATGGAATTGTGTCTCTTGACTTTCTGAATCAACTAGAATCACTTCATTTGTCTAGCCGTAGTCCACCCACTAATTTTGAGTTGCGTTTGCCTACTCATCTCAAGAAGCTGAGCTTGTCGAATTTTGTGTTGTCTTTGAGGAATATTTCACTCATCGGTGAATTGCCAAACCTTCGAGTCCTCAAATTAGTCCAAATATGCTTTGATGGGAAATAGGAGAAGGAGAATTCTGCAAACTCAAAATCTTGAAATTGCTTCAGCCTAAAGGTCTTGTTACCTGGAGAGCATGTGATGATCAATTTGACTGTCTTCAGGAGTTGACATTGGCTGGTGGTGTAAATTTGAAAGAAATGCCTTCTTGTCTAGAGTACATTCCGATGCTTGAAACAATTTCGCTCTTTTGGCCTTCAAAGACTGTAGTGGATTTGGTGAAAAAGATTCAGAAAGAACAGCTGGATTGGGGAAATTCAAATCTCAAGGTCGTTGTGGAAGGATGGGAATGATTTTTCTTTTCCTCTTCTGGTTGCTGTTGTTTATTAAGTACATAATGTTTTGGTTCATCAGAGTCAATGGTATTTAATATTTATTAGAAAAGGCTGCATATCTTTGTATCTTCAAGGCAATGAATCTGACAAACCATCTTCTTGTCCAGAAAGTCGCCCTGCATTTTAAACAATACCGACCTACTTTGATCTCATCATTTCAAATACTTCGCGTGTTAGAATTTGGCGTGCTTCTGTTCAAATATGACATATAGCACCATAAGTTCTAGGGTATACAAATATTTTCCTACTGATGATGATAAGTGGATTTGGTTTTTTTCTTGGAAACGTGTTGCTGCTTCTTTTTTCAAGTTCCATGATTCCCATGCATGATGAGCATGGAAAGACTGTCTAAGAAGACTGGGGAAGGGAACCAAACTGAAATGGGCAAAGTGCTCAGTTAATCAAATGCAGAATTCATCTAGTCGCGACGATATACAAAATAAAAAAGCAGCATGAACTGTTGTGGTTGTACATGGAAATATCAGTGAGGAGGATAAGAGCCACAAATTTATTACTACTTCAAAAGAGGATGTACAAAGTACACACAGGCAAAGATAACTTTCCAAATGAAGCTGATCATTCGTCGCCTTCACCAGTCACCCCTACTGCGTGCCCTTCACACTGCTGGCATCCTAAGGAAACAAGACGATAGATTAGATTCTGTAAGTATATGATCCGAAGGCCAGTGGAATAAACAAGAGTAGTAATCTGTAATTATGAATCACGATATAGATCAACTAACCTTCCAAAGAAGCAACACAAATATTATTTACTGTTAGGCGAAATAACCCTTAATGTCCAGGAGGGTATACAGAGAGCTTAAAATTGTTGCTCTTGCCGGCCTTTTTGGATTGTTCGAGCTTCAATACTTGAACTTTCCTTGCAGAGGAAGCCACATTTCTGTTGGTGTAGTGAAGCACCACCAGTTGGAGGCTTGGAACACCCGCCAAACCTTGTGGAAATGAGAGAAGCTTATCGCAACCGCTGAGTGTAAGACTCTTTAGTTGGGGGAAGTGATCTGCTGAAGCCTCCCACTCCCTCAAATCAGTTCTTCCAATGTACAAGTGTTTGAGACGCTTAAAACCACCCTTTTCAGGGTTCCACACGGTTCCTTGAAATGCAAACTCTTTTAGCTTGAGGACCTCAAGATTCTCTAGCTCACCTAGTGTTGACATCTGACTCCAATCCAGTTGGGTGTTTAACAAAGTGAGCCTTTGTAACTGTTGGGGAAAGCTTTTTGCTGGGGGAAGACTATAGAGCTTGAAGGTCTCATCAGTATTCAGTAACTTCAAATTTTCGAGCGATTCTAATTTTCTAAGATATCCAAATAAACTGGATTCACTGTGTCTCTCAAGTAGCTTGGACAACGAACCATAAATGCCCAACTTCTTGAGTTTGGGAGTGCAATCGAAAACCTCTTTTCTGCAACTTTCAGGTGAGATGGTACATAATGTTCGGACATTTCTAGGTAATTGAGGACTCTCAGCTTTTCGTTGGGTTCGTGCACAAGGGCGTGGAAAATTGGTTGATGAATTGGTGTGCAAATGTCTAAAATATGGTAACGTCCAAATGTCCGCTTTGATTTCAAGAGTAGGAGAAGTAGTATTTACAATAAGAGTTTGCAAATTCCACAAGTTGGACAATGCTGGAGGAATGGTATTGGCGGTGAAGTGTATGGCCACATATTTTAGAAGAAAAAGACCACAAATGTCACGCGGGAAGTGAGGGGAAACGAGTGATTGAATCTCCAACACCCTAAGAAGCTTAAAAGCATTTGGAATGTGGGAAAAAACTTCTGAACCCATGGCCATATCTTTTTGAGGACAAGCTAAGAAAGAACGAACGCGCTTACCTGAAGTTTCACCAGGAATGTAATCGAACATATTGGTATGCTTGATGCAAAGGCGGCGATATTCATCCAATTCTCGGGGTAAGAAGAGTGGGTTATCTTCTTTGATTTCCAGGAAAAAGTTTTCTTCGGCAGCTTTTTTCTTGCAAAACTCACCAAGTAGGCCGCGAATACGACAAGTTTTTAGTTTACCGTTGGACCCCCATTGCCCCGCCATCACTAAATTTCTATGAACAAGCTCTTCCAAGTACATCTCAGCCATATACTCCGTCTCCGACCATGCGTCTTGTATGAACCCTTCAGAAGTCCACAAGCGCACTAGTTTCCAAACATGGATCTCAACGTCTTCATGAAAGACACCAAAATAAAGAAAACAAGGTTTCAAGTATGTTGGTAAATACTTGAACATCAATTCCATCACCTTGCCAATTTGAGTTGCATCCCTAAACATGTAACTACTGAAATTGCTGGTCACGTTCCTCCACCAATCAATTCTCTTGGGATGATTAGCAAGAACGCCTGCAACCACCACCACAGCCAACGGCAAACCGGCACACTTTTCAATAATGTTCCTCTCATAATATTTTAACGCGGGATGACAAGAATTTTGGTTAAAAACCTTCCACCTGAATAGCTCCTCACTATCCTCCAATGTTAAGAAATGCAACTTATAAATACAGTTGGGATTGGTCCCATTCGCATACCTTGCAACCTCTTCATTGCGGGTAGTTATGAGAACTCTACACCGCCTGTTGTTTTCGGGAAAGACATGTTTGAACTTATCCCAATCACTTTTCTCACAAACATCATCTAAAACCACAAGGTACTGTTTTCCTTCCAATTGGTGCCTAAGATAAGTTTCCAATTCCCCTCCGCCCATGTTCCTCACTTCATCACCGATCATGCTGAAAGAATTCAATATTTTCAGCAGCACTTCTTTTCTATCATAATCTTGTGAAACATGAACAAAGGCCCGAATCGGGAATTCATAATCGACATATGGAACCTTATAAACCATCTTACTCAGTGTAGTCTTTCCTAATCCTAACATCCCCACAATTGAGATAACTTCAAGATGTTCTGGTCCTCTAATCAACAGTTTCTCCACTTGTTCGGCTGCTGCATCGAATCCAATTACATGGTCTTCCTCGACCATGGGCGCCTAAAACAAACAGTCACATAATCCAGTCAATCAAAATTAAAGGCAAGTATCCTCTTGGTGTAATAAATAATAAAAATTCTGTATAAAGTGAAGGTACAATGGGATTTATCTAAAAGTAAAATACCAAACTGAACAATAATTTTGGGACTGAAGAAGTACAATATATATATATATATATATATGTAGTAGCTAGTGTCCACTGATCATCAAAAAAATGGTAGTTAAGGTTTCAAAAAAAATTTCGATATGCGTACCTCGGTGGATCTATAGATGACCTCGGTCAATCTAATGTGCCAAGATTGTAGTTCCTTAAAGAAAGCTGACCTCGTCGGACTTTTTCGAGCGAGTTCGTTGATCTGCTTCCCTAGTTGTGGGAGCAACACCCGGTAATCTTTCATTGAATGAAATGCTTTGGACAGCGAAATTCTAGTATCCGGGACAGCGGACTGAACTAAGTAATTATCAATGGCGTCTTCAGCTTCCCAGATCACTGATCTTATCTGCGCCATGGTTTTCTCGAAGAAATCCGATCCAGGATCGCCAGTCCTCGTCCAATAATTCACATCCTTGAGAATCTCCAGATTTGTCCGAAGATCTTCAACATCGCTCTTGATGGTTTTACTGATCAGGTTGACTTTATAGTCCAGTACTAGACTGATCTTTTCCAGGAGTAAATTCACAGCCGCGGATTCCATCTTTCTTTAATGTTGATAATATTATGATGATGTTAATATGAGATTTCTACAACAGAAAGATTTAAAGGATGATGAAAAAGGAAATTATTCTAAGAGAAACTGTGGAATTTATTTGCAGAAGAAGTGGTGGAGTGAGTGAAATACAGTCTAATCAGTTTTAGAATGTGTAGATCAAATTCAGGCAAACAAGCTGCGTTGACCAAGGAAAGTGCATCATTACTAGTACCTATGCTAAATTTATTCAAACATATATCTTCACCGTGTTTTATGCAGGCAACGTCAATGTTAGAGCATCCACAATAGTGATAAAAGAGCAAGTAATTAACCACCGTATTACATTTTATCATTTTTGTTGGGTGTAATATTTTGTAATAGTGTAAGAATTCGTACAATATATGTAATATACTATTTTGTCATTAATTAAATTATTATTAATGCAGACTAATGTAGTGAAAAATTGAATAAAAGTATAATACTAAAAATGATAATAAACTGTGCACGAAAATTTTACATAGAATTTTGACAAGGAATAAACCACAACGATTTATTTTTGATACTTTCTCTTTGGAGTTTAAAAATTTAAGGTTAAGGCATAGTTTTAGTGCTTAACACATTATCCTTTGTAAGTTTCCCCTCTAAATTTTCCATACATGTATCAGTATTCATCGGAAAATTATCACAATAGTATATAAACAATTGTGAATGCTCTTCCAGCAATCTTACAATGCTCTTACATTTGATGATATAATAAATGTTGTACAGTACTATAATTTTGTTAATATAATAAACAAGGAAAATGTGTACCACACGAGAAAATAGTGATAATATGCTGTTCAACAACTGTATTGCCATGTGCAAAGTCATGGTAATGCTCTTCATTTAGATAAATGTATACTACATATTTTCTGTATCCGATAAACATGTCACATGTGCATGTTTGAACCAGAAACAACAACTGAGAACACGGGAGAAGCATAGCGAGTTCGTCAAGGCACATGGTAGTGATCACGGGAGCAAAACGTCTACTTGGCTGTTTGTTCATCACAATCGGTGTAGTAATTTGACTTTGTAATAATGACTATGGAGTCTCACGCTCAGATTTATATTTCCATTTGGACTGGTCACAGTTTACCCTTCTTTAAATCTCTCAAAAGAGTTTAATACGTACATTTGATGAGTGTCAATCGTCAGCAACAACAATACAATTAATGTCCCGGTGAGTTGTAATCAGCTACAATGAAATTAAATAGTACTTTGAATAGATAAATAAATTTGTTTTCTGGGTCAAACAAAAAAAAAATATTTGACACTATGCACCAGCTGTAACTTGCAGTACTATCTTGATAGAAGTATTTTTTTTTTTTTTTTGGCATTTGTTAGATAATAATAAGATAAAACTAGAGTTGTTAATTGGGTGTTGATTTAGACCCATTTGTTGGAAAATTCGAAATGTTGTCTCTTTCTTTCACGGATGATGCTATTTCGTCGGTCTTACATTAACAGTAGGTTTTAAAAAAATTTCTGTCCTCCTTCTCAATTTCGGTGGGTTTTTTTGACTCTTTAATCTCTCAGAAGAAGATGGTTAATTAGGTAGGGAAAGGGTCTGCAATCATAGACGTTCTACTTCATTGGAAGTCCAGCTCCATCGATCCAAAGGTATTCTTATAAGTTTTACTCATTGTTTCCGTGAGAATCATTGACTTAATTTGTTTGGCCTTCAATAATCGATCAATTTTTGGGGTAGAAGACGTTTTAGAAGTCTACAATAAGTTTGTTGTAAACATGGCTGATTTGTTTTTCCTTAGACTGCTCCATTGCAGTTGATCAAGATTCTCATTTTCCACTTCTTCTATAAGTTGTTTATTTTTTTTTGTCAGCTGGTTTTGTGTTATGCTGAATGTAAAACTCTAGAGTTTAGATGGCTCAAAAAAAAAAAAAAAAAAAGAACATATATCCTTCCTTGTTGTTTTCTGAAGTACTAAAAAGTTTGAAACATTAACAGGGCTTTGTTAAATTATCTATGGTACCTGATCTTTTACTAACATCTCTCTTCTTCCATTAGTTCTCTCATTTGATTTCCCTCAATCTGGCGCCGACGATGATGTCGTCTTTCGAGTTGAAAGATTTTGGTTGTACAATCAACGAGGTGGCAGAGATGGTATCCCGCCTGCACGAGATCTCAGAGGTAGATGGAGTTGGGTCGGAGAAGCTGGAACTGATGATAATAGAGCTGAAGTTTCTGCATGTTTTTGCTGGTTACGCTCATGAGTGGAATCTCTATATTGATGCTAAAAAAATGGATGACTACCTGTTGATCAAACTTGAACAATTAAACAGTGTTTCGCATGCTTTCATCCACGCATGCACTCAACAAGAACATCACGACTGGGATCCTTTCGCTTCCGAGTTACTTCAAGAGATTAATGTTCTCAAGGCCGAGGTCGAGGCTGCTTACCAACCCGGCTCCACTTTCTCTTCTTTGTGCACCACCACCCAAGAAGGATCATTTTCAGATCATGATTTGGAAAACCTTCTTGATTTTGTAACATTGATTTTCAAATATCTGTTGGATTATCCTCTGATGAAACAAATGAAGGCTCTGAAATGGAGAGGGGATTTTGTGGGCTCGCTTAATTCATTCCCTGGTGATTCACCTTGGTGGGATAAAATGCGTCCTCTGGGTGAAAGCATCCTGATTCAGACTGCTCGTCTTTGTTGCGTTTGCTGGTACAATTTAGCCACGGATCAAATTTTGGAACAAAACGTCCCGATCGATCTAGCCACTCCAAGGTTCCTAGCCTTCACTCTCCGATTCCTCCCATGCTACGATAAGACAGGAGGCTTCGATGAGACGGGTTCTGAAAAATCAATTTCAGATTTTCTTTCTTACATGCTCAGTTTGGAAGACCAAACAGAAATTCTGCACAAAGAATTGGTGTTCCTGCTCACCTGTCTCACCAGGATCCCAGAGTTGGAAAACGTCATGGATGATGTGCAGAAGATAATCTCAGGTATTAAATATGTGGTCATGGAGGCCAAAAGTCTACCGGCTGAAACCTCGAAAACACATAAAGCTCAATTAGCAAGTTTGTTTGGAAATATTTGGTCTGTTAAGGCAGAGATCTTCATCAGTGGGGCAACCTTTCGCAGGCTTTTTATGACCGACCATGAACCCCTGGCCGCAAGTTGTATGGAAGACCGCATCATGAACCTTCTCGAAGAGAATAAAATCTCGGAATGCCAACCTTTTCAGCACGACACCGATGGATATCTGCAACGGCTTTTTCCTGTCCGCGGTGCCAAGGGTTCAACGGAAGACATCATCGGACCCCTTCTTGACAAGTGTATGTATCTGCAAACCATTTTCTCTGTAAGCGGTCACATGGACGCCTTGCGTTGGGGATGCAGTTTCCTGAAAGAGAATCTTTCTCCATCAGGCGCAGCTTTGGTAGAAGATCATATCTGGGACGCCATTGAAGGGGCATTTCATCACTTTCAATCTCTCTATCAGTCCTCCACTAATGAGATGCCCTCTATTCAGGTCAACTCATTACCTTACCAGCCTCTAGAAGGGATACTAAGTAATGCAAATAAGCTTCTCTTGGACTTGATAGAAAAGGGTCCAAATCCGATGCTCTCCCAGAACCAGGATATCAGAACTCTCCAGGAGGACCTTCTTTTCTTAAGAGATGTGATGACTATTCACACAAGAAAAGAGACTACGGACTGGGAGAAGCTGCTCCGGACAGATACTATAGAAGTTCTCTTAGGAGTAATTTCTCTTCATGGTGCGATTCAAATGGCCAAATTACATAACCCCGATACAGAAGAAGACGCTGGAGGAATGGATTTCAGGATTCTTGAGCTGTTAAATAAAGTTCAGTCATGGACTCTAAAGCTTAGAGGGGTTTACGGTCAAATCCCAAAGTTTAATCACCCCAGGACTGCCGGATTGTATTTTCTCAAATTCCTCCTACAAAAATTAAGAGACCTGCTAAACATGGAGCATGGAATGATTGAATCTGCCATACTTCTAGTGAAATCCATTAGCAGGGATTTGGAGTTCATAATCTCTGAATTTGAGGATGTTTTCAAACAGGACGTTTGGACAGAGGGATTCAAAGATTTTCATACACGCCTTAGTGATGCTGCACATCTGGCCGAATACATTGTCGACTCCATGGTGGTTGGAGATGCTACGAGGCAAATGTTGGTGGTGCTTCATTATGCGGCAAAAGAGATCAAACAAGCTAAGCTACAGCTCAATGATTTTCATCGCGACGACATTCCCCGGAACTTGATGCCTGTTGAGTTGCAGTCTACCAGCACCACCACACTGCAGGAAGCTATGATTGGCCTTGATGATGCCAAAGTGCAGATACTCAATCGAGTCCTTGGAGGCGGCGCAAAGCGAGAGATTGTCTCGATTGTTGGAGTGGGAGGGATCGGCAAGAGCACTTTGGCCAATCATGTTTTTTGCAGTCCCAGTGCTGCTTACCATTTTGACATCCGTGCACAATGCCATGTTTCTCAAACTTATAACACAAGAGATTTGTTGCTTGATATCTTGAGCGGCATCATCACCATCAATGACAGCATACATGCATTGACCAACGCTGATTTGGAAGAGAAGCTGCGTAAAGCATTGAAGCAAAAAAGGTATCTCATCCTTATGGATGATGTGTGGGATACAGGCGCATGGGATGCTTTGCACAAATCATTCCCGGACGACTCTAAAGGTAGCAGGATTTTAATCACGAGTCGTCTTCAGAATTTGGTCTCAAAAATTTGTAGTGATCATCATCATCTTCTTCGTCCACTCTCTGAGGAGGAAAGTTGGAAGTTGCTCAAGTTAAAGATATTTGGGAAAGAAGAAGAATGTCCTGAAGAACTGTTGGAAATTGGAAAGGAGATTGCCGCTCGCGATTGGTGCAATAGCTGGTGTTCTTCACAGGTCTTGTGGAAGGAGCCAACAGTTGTGGAAACAAACTGCGGAAAGCGTGAGCTTGGAGATAGTTAAGGATCCCCAGTCACAGTGCAAGAAAATATTAGAGCTCAGCTATAAACATTTACCGGACCACCTCAAAGCCTGTCTCCTTTATTTGGGAGTATTCCCAAAGGACAAGGAGATTCCAGCTCGGAAATTACAGTGGCTGTGGATTTCCGAAGGATTTGTATGTAAATCGGACTCAAAGACCACTAAAACCGAAGAGGATCTTGCCGAGGAACACTTGATGGATCTCATTGGTAGAAGCCTGGTAATAGTGGCAAAAAGAAGAACAAGTGGTGCTGTGAAAGCATGTAGAGTTCATGACGTGGTTCGTGAAGTGTGCTTGATGAAGGCTGAAGATGAGAAATTTTGGCAGTGGATATCTGCAAAAGATGAAACCTATTCTTCTTTTCATGATTCAGAGTACGATTTCTTTTACGAGCCTTTAAATCGTCCCAATTACCGGCCATATGAAGACTATCGACTGTGCTTTTGTGTGAACCGGGAACATTTTGTCGCATCAGAGCCTTCTGGCCCATTCACTCGGTCTCTGCTATACATTCCTATCACTGATACGTATCCAAGGTGTCCCTATGATATATCCTTCATTCCTGACAAGTTTAAACTTCTTAGGGTGTTGGATTTGGAAACTATCAATATGGGCATCTCCTTTGCAAGTGGAATTGATTTGCTTCTGAATTTGAAGTACTTAGCAGTTGGTGGTGATATAGAGTCCATTCCACCATCTTTGTCCAAACTGCAAAATCTCGAAACCTTGGTTGTGAAGGGTTTGAAGAAAAAGGTAGTACTGCCAGACACCATTTGGAGAATGAAGAACTTGAAGCATGTTCATGTAACTAATCGGGCTATCTTCACTCTGCATTTTGCTGAAGATGCAAGTATCTCTCGGCTGGACAACTTGGTCTCGCTATCCTTGCCGTGTTTTAAATGTCAGAAGCCAACTAACGACATGATAATGAGGTTTCCAAATCTTCGATATTTGAGTTGCGTGGCATTAGGACCAAGCGATGATTTTGTGGACTTCTGTGAGTTTCTTGCGTTGGAATCACTGAGCAAGTTAGAGGAGTTGAAGATAATGTATCATGGTAAGGTTCTCAATGCTGGTCAGCTCAACTTTCCTCCGAGTTTGAGGAAACTAACTCTATCAAACTTCCGCCTTCCTTGGAGTTACATCTCAGTGATCAGGGGATTACAGAACCTGGAGGTCCTCAAATTGATTTCGCAAGCATTTGAAGGATCAAGCTGGGACATGGAAGATCTGGAGTTTGGTAAACTGAAATACTTGAAATTGGATACACTAGACATTGCCCACTGGGTTGCCTCCTGTGATAACTTGCCTGAGCTTCAGCAGCTTGTTGTGAAGAATTGCAAGCAGCTTGAGGAGATTTCGGTTGAAGATTTCCCAACTTTGCAGAAGATTGAAGTTCAAGGCTGCGGCAAGTTACCTGAAGAGCTCATCCAAACAATAAAAGAGGTTGAGGGGCTTGAGGTTGTTATCAACAACTAATAGTTTAGCTTCAGGACTGTCACCTTAAGTTTGGAAGTAAACAAGTAAGTCTCATTGTTTTTTAATTGATTAATCAACTCATACAGTTTGTAATATGCTATTGAAACTGCACACTACTACTTTAAAAGAAACATAACCATGGGAAGAGTATGAAAGATTGAACTTTTTTCTTTTGTCCATCTTTAACTTCATGAACGAATTAACAACTTTCCCTTTTCTTTGGTTCCAGCATTTCTTGCTTGCAAGCGGTTGAAGTGATTGGTATGTACTTTTACGGTTTGAGAGCCTGGAATCCATCTATATACACTTGCAGTTGACAGTGACTTGCTAGCGTAATTAATTAAGCGATCAAGCTAGCTATCAAATTGTAACCTGCAAGGCTACTCTGTTGAGCTTTGTTCTTTTTTTTTTTCTTTTCGCCGACAGTTTCAATATGTTGTTTATCTGAATTTTCTGTTTATTAGTGCTGAACTTGTGTTAAACAGCAGTAAGCTAGGGATTGACGATTTATCACTCAAACTTGCTGTGTAGTTAGAAACCTGAACTGATCCGTTTTGGAGTTTCCAGTAAATTTGAGATTTTACTTTAGTGTTGCTTTCAGGCAGCCCTGTATTTTTATTTTTTATTTTTCTTTTTGGTGTGGATACAGAAAAACATAATTTATTTGCTCTAAGCAATTCCATGATGTTGCTGTTAATCTTTAATATGCTTTCTTTTTCCCTTATGTTGATATGCTTTAAGCCTGTAAAGTGCTATCAGGCTAGAACATGCTTGTTTTTATCACTTCAATAATCATCTCTAGTGATATTCCATTGTGAAATGTTAATCATTTATTAGATGAAAACCCAACATCTTTCTGAGAACAGTGGAAAATTTGGAAACTTGCTGAGAATGCTAGGAGGAATGGAAAGAGTTGCCCTTTCACTTCATCACTGACCAGTAATAGCATACTAAACTCGCCAATATACACGTTATATTTTCATTTTTCTCCTGAAATCTTAATTGCGTAATCTGCTTAGTTTCCTCACTCTGGGAATCAGGTTCCAAATTTTCACCGGCATCAGCTGTTGCGTGCCCAGAAACTGAGATTTTTAACTCGCTGACCTACACCAGAATCACACATGACGGCACTTTCCTTGAATGTTTTTTAATTTGTGTCGTCAGATATTGACAATCCTTCGTTACACTAGTCAAATAATTAATTACCTACTTAATATAATTACTAGCAGTAAAGCAAAAAGTAGGATCGATCCCACAGAGAAGGTTACTAATTACCGATTAAAATTATTTCTTATTATTATTTAGATTAACAATTTATCAATTTTAAACTATTCTAAACCTAAAACTAACAATTGCAATTATTTAAAGATTTTACACAAATAAAAGAAAACCTAGGGCAAAGGGTTCACCAACCGACTTTTCAGTTTAACTCAACCTATAGATATGTGACTTTGGACTTTCATTAATCTCACAACGATTCACCTATTTAAGAACTATTCACTGTCGTGATATAATTCTCTTACTCAAACTAATCCTATGACTACTGTCTTGACTATAGGATTTAATTAGAGTTCATTAAGAACCCTAGAATCTATAGTTACAAAGACGGTGTTCCTACTTTCGTGGCCTACTATCTAAGTTTAATATTCTCATAAACTAGTGCTAACCTTCAACCTTTGTTCCTTCAGTTAAACACCTTTAAAGCATGCAAGTGGTGATCAAATACTCACATGGAATAAAAAACAAGAATATTAAATATCAACTAATGAAAAAGTCACAATCATGAATTAAATTAAATTAGATAGTACGGCGGCTACATCCAAAACCCTAGATTAAATAATTTAGCTACACATCATCTCAAGATAAAAATAAATAAAAATAAAAGAACCCGGAACAAAAGATCAAATTAAATGCTGCCCGGCTTCCTCCGATGATGCGTGAAGTTGGTGATGGTGCTGTTTTGCGTGGGGATTGCAGAGGATGGAGCTAGTTTGCTGCGCGGCGGTGATGGTGATGATGCTGGCGCTGGAGGCTTCGGTGGTGCTACGTGGGGTGAGCAAGGTGGAAGAAGGTGGAGCAGCAGCTGTGTCGGCAGTGGAGAGCTGCGTGGTGATGAAGGCAAGGTGGTGGTGATGGGGTTGCGTGGTTGCTGCGGTGGTGAGTTGGATGGTGAACAAAGGTGAGGCAGAGGTGGTGCGTGGGAATGGAGGAAGGAAGAGAGGTGATGGTGTGGCGGTGATGGAAGGGGGGGCTGGGGTTTCGGTGAAGTTCGGTCAAGTTCGGTTCAGTCCTGTTGTAAAAATAAATCCCTAATCCTCCTTTTATAGGCTTCCGTCAAAACCCTAATTCTTGGAGAGGAAGAAAACTTGTTTCCGAAATAATATCGGGATTAAAATTCTTACCCAATTCCAATCCCAAATCAGCCACAAGTCATTGAACTCTCGGCCAATTTTCCAAACACCAAACAAAATTCCGAAATTGCTTGTTTAATCATCCAATTTTTCAAGTACTTCAATTTCTTCCTTACCAATTTATCAAATCTTCAATTCTTCCTTTAAGTTGCTTTTATCTTCATTTTAGCTCAAAATTTCAACAATTCCTCCTTTTGAGTACAATTCCTACAATCAAATATAAAATCACATAAATGATACATTTGTACTCAAAATATTGGCAAAATTTCACATAAAGGGATATTAAAAATAGGTAAATTATGAGCATATCAAATACCCCCAAACTTGAATTATTGCTTGTCCTCAAGCATGCCCAAGAATTAAAACAAACAAAAATATTAAATTATTTAATTAGGCGGCCTCAGAGATTTAACATCATACAACACGAAGACTTCAACTACCTCTAGTATGGACTACCTAACAATGCAAACCATAGCTACTTTTAGCCCCCACGCTTGTGTGTGTGTGCGATCCGTTTCTCAAGGACATCACTTTACATTCAACATAGAAAACAAAAGCTCTACTGCAAATATGCCATATATTAATACTTTAACACAGATTCACGTTTCATACCATATTTCAATGCAATGGACCACCAAACATACTATGAAGTAGAAGGACTTATCTCACAGACAACCTATTCTCCTTCGTAACCCATTCTTCAGTCCACGCGGCTTTTCTTCAGGACTCTTTCCAACTTAGGCCACTATCCAGAGCATTTTTCCACTCCGATACATAGTGGCTCAGCAACTTAGGGCAGTCTACATATCTATTTTTCCTCACCGGGCCTGAGTACTCTCCGCTCAGGTTGCCAATTCCTCACCTCTCAAGGGGCTAGCATCAACATTGAATGCTCTTCCTTTCTCCCTCATTAAAATTAACCTAACCTCAGAAACATCTGCCAACACCCCTTCCCCAAACTTACTTAACACAAAGTGTCAAAGCAATAAGGTTTTTTAAGGTTGATATTGGGTTAATGCCTTGCTTTTCCTTCACAACATGATGGGTTCCACATACAAATCATATAAGTATGAGTGAATCAAACTACTTTCATGGCATATCTACATCAAACTTATGCAACTATGTCTTACTTTACGCTTATCCCACAGTCACGACTAAGTGCATAAAAAGCAGGGTATTCAAAGTAACATATAGAAGTACATAAGTTAAGCAATTCAATTTAAAATAGTCTATTCTTACATGTTATAGATAATTAAACCATCTTCATCATAGGCCTTTTTGGATTTTTGGATTTTTTCAATTTTTATGGTTTTTTAATGAAAATAAACACAAAACACACCAAACATAAAACACAAATTCCTCTCCCCCACACTTAAAGCATACATTGCCCTCAATGTATAAAACACAAAAGACAAGACAACCAAGTGAAAAGAAAAGAAAAGACAAATAAAAAATGAAAAGAAACGACACAACCTTGGAAATGTGAAATGGAGGACCGGAATTGTTGAATAAATTGTTGCAACTGCTATCTAAGCACAAGACCAATTTCTTCAGATTTTTGGATGTTTCATTTTCAGCACCATTGGACACCAGAGTTGCTCCCTTCCAACAAACCTAATTGCAAACTAAAGGAAATTAAAAAACCAAACCTAAAAACAGATGATTAAGAAAAACCACAAAAATCCAGAAATCAAAGATCTCCAGATAATCAGGAACAAAAAACTTAACCATCAACTTATTAATGAAAGAAAAAGAAAATAAAATAAAGCAAATTAAAACTTGGGTTGCTTCCCAATAAGCACTGTTTTATAGTCTTTAGCCGGACTCCATGGGCAATCAGTCAGAGTACCCATCTCGATACTAGAAGAAACCATCTTCAGCAGCAACAATGAATCTCTTGTAGTGGTTCTCTTTTCCATGAGAAAATATAAACTTATACTCTAACACTACAACATCCTCTTTCTCAAATTCAATCTTGTACCATTGATCCTCTTTGGTTTTCCATTGAATCAACTTTCACCTCATCCTCAAAATCTCTTATACTAGGGACAACCTCACCACATTTGTCTACTTGAAACCCTTCTTTTGAAACTATATGATATGTCTTGAAGTTTCATATTATTTATGTGTATTTGTATAGCATTTTGGATTAGATTGTGCACTTATATTATGTATTTTGATGTTTTTGGTTCTTAGGAGTCCTTATAGATGAGATGGAGCAAAATGTTGCATAAACACACATTTTTGGAGCATATTGACAAGGAAGCACAAAAAGGAGCAACGACATCACATTCTCGTGTGGACACACGAATCTCAGTCCAAAATTGAGCTTTAGAGAAGAAATTCCAGCATTGAGGCTGCATTCCCGTTTGGCCAAACCGAAACAGGGACTAAAATGAAAAATTAAAAAAGTTTTAGGGTCAAAATATAATTTTGCCAAACTTGAGGGACCAATATGAAAATCTCGGAAAAGTTAATTTGCTGCTGCGGATTTCTGAGAGGGCTGCTGCGGCTGACCTATTTTCATTTTGAAAGGGGAGTAGGTAGTAGAATAAAAAATAGACGTAGTTTTCCACTTTTAAGAAGCTT